GCCTCCCCAGGCTAGCAGGTTTGGTTTGTTTTTCTAAGGTGCATTATGGGGATTTTTTTTTTCATGTCACAGAGACAGGAATGGGCCATGCTGCCTCCCACTTTTTCCTTCTCCTCTAGTGTGTATAGGAAAAAGAGAGGCAAAGTCTGTACATGAGATCAGCATGTGCTGTTTTTTCCCCTCATGTCACGCTGAAATTCCCTGCCCCATTATAAAAATAAAAATCTATAAATAAGAAAGAACAAATGCTGAGGGGGACAAACTGGACCCACAGTTATGTGCATGTCATCACTTGTAGAACTGTGCCTAGCCCCGTTCCTCCCAGAGTTCATACATACCCTGTTTCTTTCATTGTCAGGCTCTTACAGGATAGGAAACATGTCAGATAGTCCTGTCTGAAGCTTTTTTAACTCTGCCATAACATAATATTAATTGAGCTAAGTCTAAAATGATGTTGGGCTCATTTGCTGTTGAATTAGCTCATGCTCCATTTATATGTATCTTCTTCCGTGTTGTTTTGGGCGTGTGGAGGGGAGGGCAGTTGCTGTGGGTTTTGCTGCCTTGCTTTAATATTGCAGTCATACTTTTCTCCTGAAATTAAGCAGTATTTAGGTCTGCTTTTTCATATGTGACATGCCGTCTCTGTTAGCTTCAAGCATAGGCACCCTTATGATTTCCCTTTCTTGGAAACTGCCTTGTCTCAGCATGTGGGTAGGAGGCCATGTAAATAAATACCAACCACTTCTTGGCTTTCAATGAGCATTTCCTTTTTCCTGGTGGCTACAGAAGAAAACACTCTCGCAGTGTGGCATCAAACATTCATAAAAGTTTCCTGCTTGTGGATTTTTTGTTTAGACAATCAGATTCTTAATATAGTTTTTTCATCAGTTTCTGGTTTTATTCGTCTGTGGTTGCTCGGCTTGTCAGTAAATAGTGTCTGTCAGAACAAATACTTCATCAGAAACTTCATAAATTTCTGGTAATCAAATAGTAAATCTTTATAAGCATATTCCGTAATAATGAAAGATAACTTTTAAAGAATAGAAATTAAGCTTATCTAGTTTTTTTCTTAGTTAAGGTGGACTAAATAACATTGATATTTCTGCCTAAAAGATTTTTTTCTAATATATATGAACTGTCTTAAACGTTTGAAATGGAAAACAAAGTATCTTACATTACCAGGCAGTGCAGCTTTCAACTGAAAAAAAATTGCCTTTAATACAAAGTTTAATATGTATTCTCCTGACTTCATATCCTAGGATATATTTCAAAGTGTATGTCACTGTCATGGCACCAAAACTAACACAGTGCTACCTTTTAAATGCTACCAGAACTATTTAGAGCATAAATTTATAATACCAAAATAGACTATATCAATAAAAATCAGTATTAGAGGGCAGTATTTCTAATTTTTATACATAAATATCTTATCTGTAAGTTCTTTATTTTTGTTTGCCATGATTTATTTACTTTTTATTGGTAAATTGAGAATTTCCTTTGTTTAGTTTTATTTATCCCAGTGGTAATACTTACAGAGTGCATGATACTATACTCTTCCTCCAGGGAGAACCCCAGCAGTTCAGAGAGTATATATTCTCTGGAAGCAGAATATAGATCTGAATGGTGATAAATAGCTACAGACTGGCACAGAACTAGACTGCATGAGAATTGTTAGATGAGCGCATGATAAATATAAATATGTATGACCTTTTGTGGGCAATAATTTCTGGGATTACTAAACTAAGGCAGTTTGAAAATCCATCAGGCGCTTTTTCTATAATACTTACAGTCTGGATTTGACAACTTTTGCATTCAACAAAACAAGACATTAAAAACCATGCTTTTCCAGAAGGGCCTTTGAAATATGCTTTTTCCTCTACTGGGGCCTGTTATGAAGCTGTCTAGGAAACAGAGCCATTGTTGGACATGTCACTGTATTTTTATAGTTTCACTCTTAGGTACATTTTCATCCAGTTTAGTTTTGCAATCTACTGAAGCTTAGCCAAGTTGAGTTACCATCTGCCTTCACAGTACACACATCTCAGTCTAGCTAGGACTTCTTCCAGTTCTGTGGAGTGGAAGTTACTTCTATTTCTTGTAGGAAGTATGTATTGAAAAAAACTAGTCCTAGTTTGGTTTGTCCCTTTTGTCCTGTTTTATGGCATGCAATAAACTGTTATCACATGGCTACTTCTTCCTTGAGCCAAAGACCATAACTGATGTCCCAGTTCACAATTCTCCAGCAATTGCAATGGGTGCTAGGTTTCACAGCTAGTTATGATGGCTTGGCAGACAGCAGTCAGTCTTAGAAACATAGAATAGTTAGGGTGGGAAAAGACCTTAAGATCATCTAGTTCCAACCCCCCTGCCATGGGCAAGGACACTTCACACTAGATCATGTCACCTAAGGCTCTGTCCAACCTGACCTTGAACACCGCCAGGGATGGAGAATTCACAACTTCCTTCGCCAACCCATTCCAGTGCCTCACCCCCCTAAGACGAAAGAACTTCCTCCTTATATCCAATCTGAACTTCCCCTGTTTAAGTTTTAACCCGTTACCCCTTGTCTTGTCACTACAGTCCCTAACAAAGAGTCCCTCCCCAGTATCCTTATAGGCCCCCTTCAGATATTGGAAGGCTGCTATGAGGTCTCCACGGAGCCTTCTCTTCTCTAGGCTGAATAGCCCCAACTTTCTCAGCCCATCTTCATACAGGAGGTGCTCCAGTCCCCTGATCATCTTCGTGGCCTTCATCTGGATTTGCTCCAACAGTTCCATGTCCTTTTTATGTTGAGGACACCAGAACTGCACACAATACTCCAGGTGAGGTCTCACGAGAGCAGAGTAGAGGGGCAGGATCACCTCCTTTGACCGGCTGGTCACACTCCTTTTGATGCAGCCCAGACTACGGTTGACTTTCTGGGCTGAGAGCACACACTGCAGCTGCCTCATGTTCATTTTCTCATTGACCAGCACCCCCAAGTCCTTCTCTGCAGGGCTGCTCTGAATCTCTTCTTTGCCCAGCCTGTAGCTGTGCCTGGGATTGCTCCAACCCAGGTGTGGAACCTTGCACTTGGTGTGGTTAAACTTCATGAGGTTGGCATCAGCCCACCTCACAAGTGTGTCAAGGTCCCACTGGATGCCATTCCTTCCCTCCAGCGTATCAACCAAACCACACAGCTTGGTGTCATCGACAAACTTGCTGAGGGCGCACTCAATCCCACTGTCCATGTCACCGACAAGGATGTTGAAGAAGACCGGTCCCACCACCGATCCCTGAGGGACACCACTCATTACTAGTCTCCAGCCGGACACTGAGCCATTGACCACAACTCTTTGTGTGCGGCCAGCCAGCCAGTTCTTTATCCACCGAGTGGTCCATTCATCAAATTGATGGTTCTCCAATTTAGAGACAAGGATGTTGTGTGGGACAGTGTTGAACGCTTTGCTCAATTCCAGATGACATCAACTGCTCTCCTGTTGTCCATCAGTTCTGTAGCCCCATCATAGAAAGGCACCAGATTGGTCAGGCAGGATTTCCCCTTACTGAAGCCATGCTGGCTGTCACCAAGCACCTTGTTGTTTTCATGTGCCTTAGCATGCCTTCCAGGAGAATCTGCTCCCAGATTTTGCCAGGCACAGAGGTGAGACTGACTGGTCTGTAATTCCCCGGGTCATCTATTTTCCCCTTCTTGAAAATGGGGGTTATATTTCCCTTTTCCAGTCGTTGGGAACTTCACCTGACTGCCATGATTTTTCAAATACGATGGACAATATTGCTCCATGTTGGCAGATAAGGGACTGTGAAGGAATCCTGAGCTTTCCAACTTTGGTGATTTATTGAACTTCTGTAGAGTCACTAGGTAGCAAAATTCCCCATTTGGTATCTGCTGCACAAATTCCAGCATGTAAATATTTCCCCACTCCATTGCTGCCATGGTAATGCCAGCAGCCTTAACAGTACCTTCGTAGTATTAAACTCTGTGCTATGTTTGTACCTTTGCCAGCAATTTTATCCTGACACACAAAAAAATATTGGGGGTATGAGGATGCATGTGTTGCCCCTCTTGTCTTTGGATCACATCTACTTAGCATCAGATACATTTGCAAAGCAAAATGGAGAGGTTTGCCCTGGTTTATCCATCAGTACAAGGAATTCAAGGAAGTTTAGCACAATGGAAATGGCTAATAATCTTAGGGCTCTTTTGTTCTGACATCAGAAAGTAGCCTGAGAGTGTAACTAATCCTTAATTTGGAGTGATAGGAAGCAAGAAACCTAGAAAAGGTGAAATTACAATGATTGTGCTGTAAATTAGAGTTGTGATGAAAATGCAAAAGGAGTCGGCTACAGCAAAAGTGAATAGATCATTTGTGCTGTTTGAAGAAATAAGCTGATTAGATTAGAGTCTGGTTTGGTTTGTATACAGTGTATATGAAACCTCGATGATAGTATGATTTTGATTGATTTGTATGATTTTTGTATTTTCTATTGGAGTAATGAAAATGTATGGTGGGGTAATCAAATGCTACCCATAAATAATAATAGTAATTGTAGATAGAGATTATTTTTTATGCCCACAGACATGGAAGAAGAGTTTTGTATTGATTAGACAGTTTCATCTGAGTTAAGTTTGACTCTTTTCTAATTATAATTCAGGGAAATGGAGAATAATAAATGTAGATGCTTGTGTATTTGAGAGAGGGGTTTTTTGTTTGGGTTTTTTTTTGTTTGGTTGTTGTTTTTTTTTTTTGGTTTTGGTTGTTTTTTTTTTTTTTTTAACTGGGAAATGTTTTAAATGGATCAGTGAAAAACAGGATGGGAATTCAGGCTTCATTTCTGTTGAAGGTATGTCTATGAAAGATAAACGGACGTTTCAATTTTGAATATACCCTTATGATAATAAGTGTACTAAAGTCATTACCAACTAAACAAGAGTTTGCTGAAATAGTGTTTATTTGAGACTTCTCATATAGTGTTGTTTTAATCTGTTTCTTTTCTAGGAAAAAGAGAAGAAGTATATGCTTCCTTTGGACAACTTGAAAGTGCGAGATGTTGAAAAGAGCTTCATGTCTAGCAAACATATCTTTGCATTGTTCAACACAGAGCAGAGGTAAGAAAATGTGCTATTCTGCAGATACTGCCATAAAAATGTATCTGATCGTTTTAATAACTGGGAGTACAGTTGTGGTATTTCCACTATGCTGAGTGAATAAAGATCTTGATACTCTTAATTTATCTGCTGTTTTGCGGTTGCATAAACATAGAATGAAAGGTTAGTGTCCTCCTAGCCAGTCAGGGTGAAACTCTCCATGATTAGTCATCTAGTTCTGTATGGCTGAATAATCATCTCCTGATCCTATTTTTGTTTTGTTTGGCAATCACCTAGGCTCACCAAAACATTCATGACTTCTGTACCTTGTGACCAAATACACGATGGTGTAAATCACAAAAGTGTCATTGCTTCTCACTTTCTCCAGTGAAAAATCTTGCCTCTCTCTAATATTTGGAATCATTCTGTTGTTTACTTGCATTTAAATACTGCTGAATGGAGAACAAATTATATTCCTCTGCTTCCCTAGTTAATAGGCTCTTTGCTTTATGCTGTTTGCTTCACACTTTTCTTTTCAAGCTCCATCCTCTGATTTAAGTGATGTAGGTATTCTATGGCAGCCTACTTCTGATGCACAGCCTATTCAGACTACTGTGCACAAATAAGGAAACATGAGAACACTTAGAGACATACAAGTGACCTATACATTTTTATTGTTTTGTGGTTGTTGTTTTTTTTGCTGGAGAGGTGCATTTGCAGCTGATTCTGTGGAATTGCATTTCAGCAGATAAGGTGCAATTTCTCTAAGTTCCTTTTCAGAAAAAACAAGTAAATTGCAGTGGTAGCATGGATAGATGCCCTTGTTTTATTCTTCTCTTCTGCTTCGCTCCCACTCCCCCCTTGCATCACCAAAACTTGGCAATAGATGATGTTCAGGATGATGAAGGCTGGATGTGGCTCTCTGCAGAGCCAGCTGTTGCTCCTGAACTGGCCAGACATAGCCCTTTCAGAAGCAAGGAATGTCCCTCCCTCTCACAAAACAAAAGCAAAGCACAGGATTTCTGGGCTGTCAAGTTTCTCTGGTCCCAGAAATGTGAGGATGCAATGTGAGTCGTGCTCTGAACTACATGAAGGCTTTGCCTACATCTGCTGACATCTCAGCTAGCCTACATGTGGACATTGTCTGCCAGGAGATGCCCTTTGAAAGTATGTCACACACATACTTGCTGGGAATAAGATTTCAGACACTTGACCACTTGCATTTTGGGAGCACAGAAAAAAGCTTTGAAAAACTTCTAATGTTTTTGAAAACATAAATGATCTTCACATACTGGCAACTAATGTAATTTTGATTATTCTGCTATAGCTATGTGTGAAACATCCCAACATTGCAGTTACATTAATCAAGAAAGAAAGCTTTGTTCTGGTGACTTGATATGAGCTGTACATGTTAAGTTCCTTCTGTGAGAAATCTGTTAATTTCAATTTACTGTTCCTCCTCTGTTTTGGCTAATGATATTGAGCATTTTCATAATCTTAATCACTGAACTGCTGTGAAAATCCAAGAGAAGCATGCATTTCTGTTGGGAAATTTGAAATTTATTTGGGTGTAATATAGCTGCATGTTCATATTTTCACTGGGTCTTCATATACACTGGACAGCAAGGATTTCAAGATCAGATGTCTAAAATGTTTGCCATGTCTGTAATACTCCTGCCCATTTGGGCTGTGAGTATACCGTCCAGCATCTGCAAGCTGCTCTAAAAACGTCTTTATATCTACATAGGCATGTTGAGACATGACAGCACAGCAGTAAGACAGCAAAATACCTTTGCCTTGGGAGAGGCTGTTTATGGACTCTTCCAGCTTGAAAGGAGGCAGAAGTTTTTCTTGAAGAGATATTTATTGAATTCTAACCACAACAGTCATTCCTCTGTTACCATAAAACAGCTGATTTTTTATTTCTTTTAAAAACCTGCCTGCTGGTTTTTAAAAGTTGGGGTTTTTTTTGTCAAAACAAATTTAGTATCACTTTCCACAGTTTCCTAAATTCATAGGTTGTGTCAGCAGAATCAGGGATACTGAGGCTTGAGTAAAGTGACCTGGCCCTCAACTGGGGACTGTGTTCCCTGTCCCAGATTCTTAGGAAACTGAAACAGGGAATTGGTAAAAATCTGTTGAACTAAGAAGTCTTGTCATTGTTTTACTTTATCTTACTTATGATTCTGAATAGGGTGTGTGTGTGGATATGGCTTCTTTTTCAAAATTCATGTAAAACTTAACTTAGTTTCTGGTTTGGGTTTGGTTTTTTTTTCGGGGGGATGAAGAGAAGTGGTTGTTCTGTGTGTGTTTTTGTTTGTTTGTTATCATTATTATTAAAAACCTTAGTAATTGAGAAACAAGTCAGCTTTCTCTTTCTGAGTTTGCCCACTCAGGGTTCTGGCTATGGAACCATTTTGCTATTTAAGATGTAGATCATTAAAGAACAAAGGCAAAGTTTTACGTTCCAGCTTCCATGATAGCATGGAGATTATTCAGTATTTCTCCTCCTGCTTTCCTCCCCACCAGTCTGCAGCATATCTTAATGTTCAATTAGAGTATTTTAGTTTTCAAGCAAAATCCCTTTAGGAGAAGAATTTTAATAGTCTTGTCTCTTTTTCGTTCCTAGCCTCTCACTGCATAGGTATTTGCTACAGCCATATGTTTCTGATACTGCACATTTCAATAGTTTCCTGGATTATACACTGCATTTTTTCCATTTATGAAAACCTTTCCAGTTCTGAAATATAGTTACCAGGAAACTGCTCATTTCACTGTATAGAAGGAAAAACCATCTTGAGTTAGCTGAGGCTTGGGGATAGATGCAGAAGGAAACGAATGGTATCTGTCATTTTGATTTACTGCAGAAGTCAACAGTTCTCTGACAGGAATCAAATGTGACTTGGTAATGTATAGTAAATGGAGACTGTGACGATTGATTTCACAGTGAAGATAAATTCTCATGAAATGAACATAATTGTATGTTTATGAAAAGGCTACATTGTGACATAATTAAATTCTTTTCCTGTTACTTTGTAATTAACTTTTCTTTTTAAAGGAGAAAAATATAGAAAACTCTTGGTGTGAAATAGATATAGTATTGCTTAAAAATTGAGGGTGAGTTTTGTTTTTCAGCAAACTAAGTAATTTATTTAAAGCATTTGAATGGGCCCATCTACTTGATTTATAGACAACTTGGAACACCTTTGGAGGAGGACTCCTCTAGTTACTTAATTTAGCTTTACTTACTCTAGCTTACTTTGTTTTAATATCTAGCACTAGATTTTTTTTGTTTTAATATCTAGTGTTAGATATTAAACCAAAGTATATCAGAGTGAGTGCCCTTTGACTCCTGGATCACTTCTGGCTGTGTCCATCCACGTGAGTCTGCCTTTACACAAGTGAAGTTGAGCTATAGGGTCAAGCAGTATGTGTCTGAACCTAAAGGTGTGAAGAATGTGAGTGCTGTTTTGTGTTAACCATCCTTTTCTCCATCACAATAAACTGCTGGCAAGTCTTTTACATTGGAGAAGATACCAGATTTTTGAAAATAATTATACTATAGGAGAACCCTTAATGTTTGTAGTACTGCTGTAGAACATAATGTGAAGTTGTGGAGATGTAGCCACTGACTGACTTTCTTAGGCAGTTAAGAATGGAGGTTGAGAGTATTTTGTCAGTGCCTGTGCTTACATGAAGTAGATTAACCTGTGATGTCCTCATTGATGAGTGTGTAAGACTCTTGTGCAGAGCTCAAGAAAAAAACAAAACAAATTCTGCTCATCCAAGAAAGCTTACTTTCCTTCTGGGATTTCATTCCAAACACTTTGCCTCTTTCTCATATATTCCCTTTAAAAATAATTCACTGATTGGTGCTTTTCCTTTTAGCTTAGTCCTTTAGTTTGGAACAAGAACTATAGTCTTAAATGTGCCTCTCTTTAGGATCGATGCAACGGTCCCATCTCTCCCTCTCTCTCAAATTAGGAAGGGTAAGCAGTCATTCTTTTTCATGGTCTTGCCCAGTTGACTACAGCATCCACATGGCATTACTTCACTAGATTCTGTGTTATTCTAAAGTAACCCTTTGCCTTTGCAGTATAGTATTTACACTTTTTTTTCAGATTTATGGGTCAATAAATTGTATTACTGTATTGCAACTCCATCTAGATGCTGCTTCTCTTTAAGTAAGGAAGGAATGATGAGTAAGCCACTTCTTTTGCTACAAGTGGAAAAGTAGCTTCCTTTCCACCTCTTCTCCAATTCTTTGGGTTTTTGTGTGCAGCGTTTTTTTTGGTTGGTTGGTTGGTTGTTTTTTTTTGTTTTTTTTTTTTTTTTTCTCCCCATGGAAGAAGAGATTCTACTACATAAATATTTTTGGAGTTATGTTGAAGTGTTTGTTGAGCTCCGTTCCTCTTCAGACTCATTCCTTTCCTTGGAGCCAAAGAAGCAGAACCAGTGTGTGAAATTCTCCCTTCCTTGCAGAGGAAGATCCCATCAAGTCTTCCTGTCTTTTACCTTTATGCCCAACTAGGATCCAGATGAAACTGAATAATACTGTTGCTTTTCTCACCTCTGTGAGAAAAGGGATGTTTGCAAATTCAGAGCACAAAATTGTTCCTGTTTGCCTTCACAAGAATGGGTTCCTAAGAGCTGAATGCTCCTCAATAATCAGAATCAGTGTGGCAGAACCTACTGTCCCTGCATGAGAGCTGACTGTCAGGGACAGTGGGACAGGCTCATTGTAGAAACAGATCCCTAATCTGAGAAACAGATGAACATCAAGAGGATAGCAATCAAATGGAAGTTTTGAGGGCGCACAATAGGACTGGAAATAGAACTGCCAGATGATAAATTTTAGCTACTGACTCATGAGTACACTCTGACTGTCAGGAATCACACTGCACAAGAACTGTGCTGTCTGGTAGGAACCAGGAAAGTATGCTATGTCTGCTAAATGAAAGGTATTACAGTACTGATTTTGGGTTCATGGTGTTGGCCGAGTGATGTTCTAGAAGTCTTCT